TTGATAGTTACAATTTAATGCTGTTTTGGTTAATTAAAATAGGCTGTCGTGAATAACTGTCTAAAACTAATCTGCTTTTTTGAAAAATACAGTGAAGTATATCCCAGGTGAACTGCTATTAAAGAAATTATATTATCATGAATCTGTCAGAGGAAGAAGCATTTCCAAATGTTAATAAAAGTTACCCGTCAGATCATCTGGATATTTATTTTTACCCCAGTAAATCTCTATCCCTTTTTTTAAACACCTTTTAGAGAAAAACTAGAAACATTTATAAACCAGACTAATATGGTACACTCACAAATATGTCCAACCTGATTTGGCAAAGAGGAATGAATTGATCCTAAAACAGGATTTCCAACAGAAAATCAATTCTTCTTAGTGTATTTTATTTAGAGTTTTAAGCGCTACTTAAGTGTACTTGGAAACCAATTAAACCAGCCAGGAAGGGTATCAGTTCTTTATAAACAAATTAGATTGGAATAAAGTTTGTATTTAGTGTATTTGAATTCTGTCAGAAGCTACAGACAACATTTCTTTATCAGAGTCTTTATTTCACTTTGCTAGATAAATTCACATTGTATGTTGATCCTGGAAATCTAGGAATGCATAAAACTAGAGGGCTTGTTATCTCCAGAAACATCACTCATTTGCATGAATTAATGTTTTCACAAATACTAGTTGTCATGCACGAGATTTTCAGAGAGGAACCTTAAATTTGATATTTAAATTTTATGCCTGATGGCATCAATAATAAATTAAAGCTTGTGGCTTCATCATCAAGAAGAAACCCAGAAAGAAGAAAGATGGACTGAGTATCATGATAAAAATTACAGTGTATCTCAAGTTACATATGGAATGCCGTTAATGAATGCACCTTTATGCAAATGAAAACTCATGTAGGACAGCATTATTATGACTGAGTTGTTTGTAACTAAAATAAAAGATAAAGAGAAGAACATTACCTGAATTGAAATAAATGTACCGATATATATACATATATATATATATATGTATGTATGTATGTATGTATGTATGTATGTATGTATATGTATATATATATATATATATATACACACATACACACTTAAAGTCACAACCCCTGGTATGCCCAAGTATGGGAGGAAGGTCACACTTC